TATAAAAGATCCAGAAGAAATATAAGGAAAACATTAAAGACTAATTATAAGGCACTCATTATAGTCAAACTGTTTACTTATTACATATATGAAAATATTATCAGTATTCTTAAAACTGTCATCATTACTAAGGTAGTTTGAAAGAAAGGATAGGGCTGAGTTGTGTATGATGGAGTGATTCTAAAAAACAAAATTGCATAAGAAAATGCAAAAAGGAGCAATTATGTTATAAAAATGGGGCATGAAAGGAAGAACCAATACAGAGGAAGCATGTGGGGGTGAAATGTTAAAACCTGACAGGTAATATTGAAACCTTACTCTCATCTGGGTTGAAGAGGAAACAATGTGTACAACCGGAATGGCATAGAAGTCTTCTGAACACATAGAGAGGCGAGAAAACTGGGTGACAGGGTGGGGGAGGGACTTTTAGAGGAGTGTATGGATTGGCATTTGGGAGAGTTGGGGGAGAGGACAGGAGAACTTTTGAAGGGTGTGTGGATTGAGTTTGGGGGGTATGGAGAGGGGATAGAAGGACTCCTAAAGTGATAGGTGAAGTGGTGGGATAGGAGGGTGGGGAGAGAAGATAAGGTAACAGGGATAGGGTAAAAATAGAGGCTGAGGAAAAAAATAGTAAAAATAAGATGGAGGGAAATTCACAAATAGTAATTATAACTCTGAATGTGAATGGGATGTTTATAGCAGCTCTCTTTGTGGTGGCAAAGAATAGGAAATTGCAGGCATCCCCAACAATTGAGGAATGGCTGAACAAGTTGTGGTATATGGTTGTGATGGAATGCTACTGTGCTAGAAGAAATGATGAGCTCGATGACCTTAGAAAGGCATGGAAAAACTTGCAGGAAATGATGAAGAGTGAAATGAGAAGAACCAAAAGAACATTGTATACAGTAACAGCAACATTGTTTTAAGAATGACTTTGAGCAACTAAGTCATTTTGACTATTATCAATACACGAATTAAAAATAATGGATGAGTGAAGAAAGACACTATCTGTACCCAGAGAAAAAAACTCATACGTAGAAGTATATATAGGATGATTTTGCATATATATGTGTGTGCATATATAATATATACATATATATGCATATGTATATATATATATGCCTATTTGTTTCTAATGGTAGCCATCTCTAGGGCAGGGGGAGGGGAGGGAAGAAAAAAGAAGAAATTTACACAATAACTTTGTTGTATATTTGGAGGGAATAGCAAATTGTACAATGTAGATTTGCAGTTTCACGTGCAGTCATCTCTTTTATTGTACTGTGTTATGGAAATGCTTGTTTTGTTTTATGAGTTGGAAATAAAATAAATAAAAAATAGATAATACTTCAATGTCATCATGATCTCATCTTTGTGGGTCCTTCCTCCAAAGAGGGAAAACACAAGTCATCCATAGCACATTCTGTTTCATATCCTCCCATAGACCTTCTGTACAGGATACACTCAGTGTGCTGGAATTCTTCCCCTTGGTCCTGCAACATTCCATGGGTATTAGTGCAGTACTCAGGGTGCCTTTATGATAGCTCCTGCTCTTACTATATGACCAGTAGACTTCATTTTCTGATCATACGTTCCTTGGGTGATACCTGTTACACAGCTTCTTGCATTCATCATTGTTGGTACTATTCTACAGCTGTTAGGTAGTATAGTGGATAGGACACTGGACTAAGAATTAGAAAGACCTGAGTTCAAATCCACCCTCATAAACTATCTGTGTGACCCTAGGCAAGTTACTTAGATTCCTTCAGCCTCAGTTTCCTCATATATAAAATGGGGATAATAATAGCAACTATCTCCAAGTTGTTGTGAAGATAAATTGAGACAATTTTAGTAAAATGATTTGCAAATCTTTAAATTCTATATACATATTAGCTATTATTGGCTGGGGACAGCTAGGTGGTGCAGTTGATAGAGTGCTGGGCCTGGTATCAGGAAGATCTGAGTTCAAATCAGGCCTCAGACATTTAATAGCTGCGTGATCCTGGATAAGTCACTTAACTCTGTTTGCCTCAGTCTTCTTGTTTATAAAATGAGCTAGAGAAGAAAATGGCAAGTATGTTTGCCAAGAAAACCCCAAATGGGGTCACAAAGAGACATGACTGAAACAACTGAACAACAACAAATTATCAGCTAGTTATTATTATTTATACCCATCATAGATTTTCTATTGACTTCCATTCCCTGCCATTTTGATTCTTTGGAGATTGTAGCACTCCTTGTGGATGAGTGAGCAAGGTTATTGCTCACTTGTCCCTGATTATATTTCTTCTGACTCACTGACTAGGTGCATTTCCCCATAGAAATGTTCCTTTTTGACTTTGGGAAGTAATATCAAAGGATTCTCCATATACCTAGAACCCCATATCTTGAAGATTTTCCAGTTACCCTGTTCACTTTACTTGTAGTTCACTGTTCTGCTCTACCTCCCCACCAGCTGCCTTGCCTCTGTGTCGGTACTCTCCTCCCTTCCTATCTCCTCTTCCCTAAACCTTCAGTTTTTCAGAGTCTCTTTATGTTTTGTCTTCTCTTATTAGAACACAAATTCTTTGAGAGTAGGGACCACCTTGTTTTCTTGTTATTGTAACCCCAGCAACTTAGCACAGTGCCTAGTACATAGTAAATGCTTAATAAA